AACAGCAGTCTCAGAGGCCTGAGCTGCAGTTAGGGAATGTTGGATTCCTCCGTCACTGCAGCAAGCAAGCCTCATGTTAGTTGCAAGCTGCCTGGCTGCCGGCTGCCATCTAGGCTGGCAGTTAATTTGCATATTGCCCTGATTAGCCAATGGGAAGGGTAGCGGTCGTACGCCGATTACCATGTTTCTCTTTTATTAGATAGGACTAGAGGCCTGATGCACAAAAATTCGTGAAAGAGTAGGCCTTCCTTCCCTGGCTACCTGCACCAGCTTCCCTCCGGCTACCGGCAGGCACCCAGGACCCCGGCTTCGCTCCAGCCCCAGCTTTGTCCAGAAGGATGTCTGGTCTAATTAGCATACTACCCTTTAATTATTATAGATGACCTTGGACAAATCACTCAGAGCCCCCTCCCTTTATTTGCATCTTTTGAATAGGAATTATTCTCTAACTACTCCTACAATTTCATTATGGGGAACATGCTTGTAAACCTCAAGGTATCATATGTGATGTACTGAAAAGGAACCCTATAGAATCTGAAAACAGTTTCTGTTTTTGTGATTTTGCCTAATGCCAGGTTTGGATACTTCTCAGGGAATGAATAAATAGAAGCTGTGAAGGAAGGCGATTTTGTCCCTGCTCTGATGCATAAGAGCAGATTAACAATTGCAGTCGCTGATGAGCCCCATAATGCATGCCAGGGCTGCTGCTTAGGATTCAGAGTTCATTTTTTTTTCCAATATGGCTGCCTCCATTGTACCGAAGCATTGTTTCCTGAAGATACATTAATCAAGGAATCGCTTTACTGGAGGATAGCTAAATGCTTTTTCTCTGAGAGGTGGCCAAGAACAAGGGGCACAGAAAAAAGTGTTGGCACAGCATATCGATAATTAGTTTTTCTGGCAATAAATATCGCCATTTCCAATAGTCATGTGTTCACACAAAAAAAGGGCAGCCTCCCCCCACCCCCAAGCATGAGTCCACTCACGTAAATGATCCCTTCTTGTCTTATCCCAACACCCTGTGTTTATTTCCTCACAAGAACTCCCTCTCAACATACTAGTACATACTGCTAAAGCTATCTGGAGATTAAAAGGTAGATTTGTGTTAGCTCAGGTATAACTCAGTGCAGGGTGTGGTTTGTACGTGGAATTCAGTTGGAATAAGGAGTGGTATTGCAAGTTTTAAACTGCAACTTGCATTTGAATATTACTCTTAATTAGATGAGGGTAAAATTGGCAGACTCCATGCATATGTGAAATGCCTAATATCACAAACATTTGATCTCCTGTGCTGTTCTATTTCTGTTTCTTTTTCATAGAACATTTCAACTTTATAAGATGGTTTGGAATTGCTCACGTTTCTGTAGCAACGGAACCTCTAAACAGTACTTTTTAAACTGTAGTAGGCCTACAAGTCATGTGGAGCTCCTAGAAATGCAGGTCCCGATTGAGTAGGTTTGGAGTGGAGCCTGAGATTCTGCATTTCTAACAAGCTGCAGGTGATGCCGCTACTGCTGGTTCCCGGACCACACTTTCCATAATAAGACCCTCAGTGCCAGGGTTCTGACTGCTGGCTTGGCGCCGAATCAATTAGGGAGCTTTGAAAAAGACATGCTCATGACCACCCTCTCCCCTCAGATTTCCCAATTAGTTATCTCTGGAATAGTTGCTGGGAGCTAGATTTTTGAAGTTCTATGTGAGGTGATGCTCAGCTTAGGCTCCCATTAAAAAATGTGACAAGTGGTTTCGGTGTGATTTCTTGTAATTTAAACTGTTATGTTCTTCCATCCTAAGCTGTGATGATTTTTAGTCCAACAATAAGTAAACGACTTCACCATGCATTTTACAATGAATTTCATTCAATCCCTTCATTATCTTGTGCGGAAGAGAAGGCTCCACGTAAAGAATGGTTTAAGGCGCTCTCCTGGAAGTCACTGGAAAGCAATGTCTGCGGTCATAGAGGCCTATCCTGCTAGCTTCAGCTGATGGGGGCTTATCGTAAGGATGCATACGTAAGCCTGCACACACAGAAAGTGACTTCAGAAGACAGCTGGAAATAGAGTAGCCCGAGGAACGTGGCCGCAAATAGTTACTCCAGAGAACATCCCTTGGGCTCAGTGTGCCTCTGTCTGCTCCCGTGGCTTGTGAGTTACTGAGTAATTGGCTCTCTTTTGTTTTCCTCACAGTGACTCTCCCCAAGAACGAGCTCTAAGCAGGATGGCCAGCCACCATCTGGCACAGAGTGGCCCTTAGGGCAGGGTTCTCATGCCAGTTTACCTCGGAGGCCAGTGACAAATAGAGTCACTGGTGGTCTTGCGAGGTCCGAAGGGTTGGCGACCGCTGAAACAGAGACATCCTTACCTTTCCATAGCCATCCCGCCTGGCTCCTTTTCCTGGGCACCCGCCTGGCCGCCGCATTCCAGCATGGAGACTCGCCAGCAGCTGAGGGACTCGGCCTGGGGGCTGTTGGAGATTTCCTAGAATGGAGAGGGTAACATTGGCAGACGCTGTGCATGACCCAGCACTGACTTTCACTGAGTTCTGCGAGGGGAGGCACTTACTTTGTTCATTGTTATAGCCCAGCGACTTTTAAACTTTTTCATCTCGTGGGACACGTAAACTAATGACTAAAATTAGGCAGCACACCAAAAAATACAATTTTTGCCGATCTGACGAAAGAAAAGGTATTTTGATTCCTTCACCCCGGGCGGCTATTGTTGTGTTGGCTCTTGTCATTTTTTTTTTTATTTGACAAATAGTCAGGTATTGAATGTTTTAAAAAATCTTTCAGCACACTGGTTGGAAAATCCTTGTTATAGCCCCATGACTCAGAACAGTGTCTGGTATTTACGTTCTATATATATTTATCAAATAGAATAGAATTTTTTAAAAAAAAACTATTTACTGTAACTATTTTTTAAGTTTTAGTACATTTTATTCTAACCCAAGTCCTTGGTACACAATGATGGAGAGCGAATTCCTGTTGTGCCCATAGCTTACCCTGTTGAGAAGAGACAATACTCTTTGACGTGCAAGAACTGCACATATTCCTGTTTCCCTTTTAGTTGTAAGAGCTGGATTCGTTTGCCCCTTGGTGCCTTCTGTACGGCTGGCGCCAGGCTTTGGGCGGAGGGGCAGCAAATGGAGGCCAAGTGCAGTGCTCGCAGCCCTTCCCGACGCCGCCCCGGTGAAGCAGTGCCGCAGGGCCTCGAACCCCCGAGCATAGGCCCTCACCCTGGCGGCCCTGCTGCCCGCACCGCGCCTGCGCACAAGCGTCCCACTGCTGTCCCTTGTTCTCTGCGTGAGCGAGCCGCTCCTCCGGCCCGGGCGCCGCCATGTTGGGTCCCGGTGGCATCTGATTATCAAATTCAAACGCCGCCTTGGTGATTGGGCCCAGATAGGGAGGCTGGTGTTCAGGTGAGCAGAGGGACCCTGGAAAGAGAGGAGTCGCCATTCGGTTGCCCCCCTCTGTGGGATGGGGGATGGATGGTAAAGGATCTTTCTGAGGAAGGATTGCCCGTCTGGTAAGCCCGGCTCGGGTTCCTCAACGGGAAGAGAAGGAAGGCTGTCATTGGACAGTCTCTCCGGGAGGGGCGGTGACGCCCCACACGTGGCATGGAGCCTCAGTTGGAGCACTTTTGTGATTGGTGTTAAATAGAAGGACGAGCACGTGTGCAGCACTGATGCCTCTGGACCCGCCTCGAGCTCAAGGGTTTTCGCAGACCTAGTGCAGCGCAGTTTTGGAACAAGCACCTCACGGGTTCCCAGTGACTGTTTAACGAAGGTAATGAAGAATTAGGGGTTTGACTTCAAGGTTCTTTCATTCTTTAATCTTTTTTTAATTGATTTTTTTTAGAGGGAGGAAGAGAGAGAGAGAAACATTGATATGAGAGAGACATCTATTGGTTGCCTCTTACACACACACATACACAGCGAACCTGTCACCTAGGTGTGTGCCCCAACCTGGATGTACAGGACGCTCCAGCCAATTGAGCTACAGGGCCCGGGGCTGCTGTTGTAGGAGTTTTTTTTAAAAGTGCCTACTATTTAGCATGCCTAAAAAATACTTGGTTTATCCCTCCGCTGGTGTGGCTCAGTGGTTGAGCCTTGACCTATGAACCAGGAGGTCCCAGTAGGTTGGATCCCCAGTGAGGGGCATGCAGGAGAGGCAGCCCATCCATGATTCCCTCTCCCTTCCTCCCTCTGAAATCAATAAAAAAATTTTATTTTATTTTATCAACTACTTCTATTTATTAACCACTTTTTTAGTGCTTAAGATATGCCAGGAACTTAGTAATTCTAACAAAGAAAGGCAGTTTCTGTTCAGATGAGGAAAATGGGACAAAGAGAAGTGCTGGGGTTCGGACCCCTGCAGGATTTTTTTTTCCCCTCCTTTCATTTTTACGTTCACATACGTAAGTTTACATAAAGTAAAACTGTCTTCTGTTTGGTATATAGTTCTATGAGGTTTTTTTTTTTTTTAACGATGCATAATTGCCAATGTAACATTATATTAGTTTCAGGTGTGTGTAAAACAATGCTTCAATGTTTATATATTGTGAAAGGATCATCACAAAAATAAATCTACTTAACACCTATCACCATACATAGTCGCAAAAATATTTTTTCTTGTGATGAGAACTTTTAAGATGTAGTCTCTTAGTAACTTTCAAATATGCAATACGGTATTAACTATCGTTTTATGAGCTTAAATACCTCCTTAGATTCATGCGACCTCCACCATAGTCTGGGTGAAGAACAGGAAATTTCCTTGTAGTTAAACCTTCCTCAAACTCTTAACCCCTGGCAATCACTAATCTGTCCTCTGTCTCATATTTGCATTTTCCAGAACTTGATGTAAAACCTGCAGTGTATGAGAGTTCCAGTTGATCCCCATCCTCACCAGCCCTTGGTATACCAGGTTTTTCTTGTTTGTTTTGTTTTAGCCATTCTGATAAATGCGTGGTGATTTTTTCATTGTGCCTTTCCTTAATGGATAATGATGAGGAGCATCTTTTCATGTGGCTAATCTTTGGCAAAAAAAGTTCAGATCTTTGTGCAATTTTTAAGAGTTGTTTATATATTCTGCATTCAAATTCTTTATTGGATATGACATTTGAAAATATTTCTTTTGGGTTACACACAACCCCACCCCCTTCTATTAACAGTTTCTTTGAACATATTTTAAATAGTAGATATAAAGTCTTTGTCTAGTAAGTGCAATGTCTGGGCTTCCACAGGAACCTTTTGTATTACTTTTTTTTTTTTCTTTGTGGGGCCAGACTTTCTTGTTTTTTGTATACCTTGTAGTTTTATGTTGAAAATTGGACATTTTGAATATTATAGTATAGCAACGCTGGAAATCAGATTCATCTTCCTCTCCAAGGTTTGTTATTGCTGCTTATTATGGTTGTTGTATGTTTAGTGACTTTTCTGAACTAATTTTGTAAAGTATGTAATCTTTGTGATGTATAGCACTGAAGTCTCAGTTTCATTAGCTTAGTGGTCTTCTAGGGATTGGACAGTTTTCCTTAAGTGCCTAGAACAACAACAACAAAATATCTTAGTATTTACAGATGGGCTCAGTGTATTGCTGCACAACTTCCTGTAGCCTTCTCTTCCTCCTTGAGCAGAACCTGACGGTGAGCCAGAGATGGGAGCTTAGGGCCTTCTCAGATCTTTTCTAAGCATGTACCCATCCTTGGAATGCACATGGTCTTTTAGATTCCCAGGAATACATGGGTGCTTTTCAAAGCCCTCATTCTCCAAAGCCTCTCATTCTCTCCCAACTTCTTTGGTGTCTTCATGCAGCACCAAACTAACTATTTTTTGCTTGTAAATGTTTTCAACAAACTCCTTCCAGCTAGCCACTTTTTAGCACTTGGAGAGTTCTGAATGAGGCAAGATAAAGTCATTTTTTGTGCCAGTCTTCCAGGGCACCACCAGACAGGTAAACACAAATTATTACAATTCTTTGCTTTGTGAATGAGGTCCTTCTGCCCCCTTTGGTACTGTTACTGGGACCAGAAAGGCAGACTGAGTTGGAGAATAGGGAAATGCCACAAAGCTCACTGCTCTAACCAAAATCCAGCTAGTTTTTCTTAAGTGTTTCACTGTTATGAAGTGCATCAAGTAGTTTCTGCAAGCTTTTCGTTAGTTTCCAGATTTCCACAAAAGTTGATTCTGCCAGTTTTTTATTGCTTTTATGGAGGAAAAACTTCGAGTTCCTTACTTTGCTATTTTCATTCACTCAAAACTGAGAGAACTGGCCCAAGTTTTCCTAGTAAAATACCAAGAGAAGAAATAGATATTCATTTTTGAAGTGTTTGTACATTCTATAATAGTATTATCAAGGTATTTCAGGAGCCCCACTCATATGGTTATAGTGCATGGGCAGCTTCCTTTTCTCATTTGCAGGCCACAGACAACCCCTAACCTCTCTGTTGCTTTTTAAAAACATGATTTTGAAGGGATATCTGGCCAGGGGAACTCCTCTCCCTCTTTGTTCTTAAGAATGGCTCAGATAAATATCACATGCTCTCACTCATTTGTGGATTATAATGAACAACATAAACCGATGAACAAAAACAGATGTAGAGACAGAGAAGCACCGATCAGATGCTCAAAACTCAGAGGGAAAGCAGGGGAAGGTGGGGGTGAGAGGGAAAGATCAACCAAAGGACTTGTATGCGTGCATATAAGCATAAGTGATGGATATGGACAACAGAGGGTGAGGGTGAGGGCAGGATTGAGGGGGATGAGGGGACATTGGGGGGATAAGGACACATTTGTAATCTCGTATTCAATAAAGGGGGAAAAAAGAGTGGCTCAGAGAAAGGAATTTTATTAACTGTTCTGATGTAAATCAGTCATGTGTTAACCCTCTGGGCAATGGAAGTGAGCAGAGCATGGAATGTGTCACTTTATTTACTTCTGGATTGTTTGAGTTTTCTCCAAATGAATATTACTTTGGAAATTAGAAATAAAAAAATAAATTTAAAGTACTATGAGAAACAATTGCCTGCTGCTGGTCTAGTGTATTTGTTGCTCATGTTATGGTGTTTTTTAAAAACCTGTTTTGCCTTAAGACAGTGGTTCTCAACCTTGGCTGCACATTAGAATCACCTAGGAATCTTTTTAAAATCCTGATTTCTGGGTCTCATCTTCCGGAAATTCTGTTTCTTTGTTATGGGGTAGAGCCACAACATTAGTAACAAAGAAACAGAATTTCCAGAGGATGAGGCCCAGAAATCAGGATTTTTAAAAGATTCCCAGGTGATTCTAATGTGCAGCCATGGTTGAGAACCACCGCCTTAAGATAAGTTATTGCAGTGATCATAGCAAATGCTGTCCTATTGATAAAACAAATGATTGATAGTGTTTCAGGAAATGATAATAGGAAGGAAGTATAGAATAGTTTCCTCTGAAGATCATTTTCAAACACTGGCTAACTTATCATTTATTTACCTGTTTGGTTTTATGACACTCACTTGTTTTTATGAAAGCCATAATCACTTGAAAAGCAAATCCTCATTTATAATCAAACTGTGAAAAGCTGTTTAACATAATCAAAAGCCATCTTACCATTCTCTGATCCTCTTTATTTTTTTCTTATGTATTTCATCTC